TTTCTAGTGACAGCTGGGTGTTCACATTATTGACCACAGTGGAGGCACGAGTTTCACACCACTGAGTAAACAGCGGATCATGGGCTTGTTGCACACATAACGTGATTTTGAGTATTACAAAAAAAGTTTAAATGTGATCTGGCAGACAGACAGCTCAGATGACCTGCACTGACTCACCAGATCCAACAACGGCCTGCCACACCTACATTATTATGGCCTCATAACACACACTCACGCACACACACTGAGGCGGGAGCACACACACGCACACAGACACAGAGTCCCAAAGCACTTACCCAGTGTGGAGTCAGTGTGCGCCACAGCCAGCGCCCCGCACGGCTCCGAAGCACAGAGGAGAGACCCGAGTCCGGTGAACAACGAGCATGTTAGACAAAGTTTTACTAACTTTTAGACACCGCGTACAGGCACACAGCCGGCGTGCAGCTCTCTGTCTGTTTGTTTGAGTGATCTGCTTAGAGAATAATTGTCTTTTTTCCGGGTTGGACGTTTCGTTATTAGAATAAACCAGCCCCGGATGTGATCTATGCGTCCTCTGAGCCCCGGGTCCTCCTCCTCTGCTCTGATCTCTCAGTAGAGGAACTGCACTGCTCAACACATCTCTGCTTATTTTGTTTTTTGTTTTTACACACGTGTTTAGGGGCTATTATTTAGAAAATACATAAACCGTGCGCATTATCTTTCTTCCTGGAACTGCGGGCGATATGTTATCTCTTCAGGTAGCAACTTGAGAACTGGGTCGAACACACACACACACACACACACACACACACACACACACACACACACACACACACACACACACACACACACACACACACACACACACACACACACACACACTTGTTTCTTATAAATGAGCAGACAGGGAGTGTAAACCTGGATTAACAGGTCTAGATAGTGTAGAATAATAGTTTCATTCATTCACGAATGTATAGCTGTCACTTTGGTGAGGTTCACTTAATTAAAGTGTATTCCAAATATTTTTTAAACAAAATATTAAGAAATAATAGAAAACCCAAATATATAATCTGGTCTTCTCTTTGTGGAAATATGATGCACTTCAATGCAACTTTATGCCTATGGTAAAATATATCTTAAATAAGTTTGTAACATTCAAATAGCTTTTTCTTTAGCTTCAGTTGCTTGTTTGGTTAAAAGCCAGCAGTTTTAGTGTGAACATCATTGTGTTCTTCATATATGAGCTCTGGTCAAAGGGTTGTCAGTGTTAACATACAGAACAAGTGTCAGCCATTATAAATATAGCAAAGCGACACCTCTGAACAAAGCAAACCACTATGAATCATAGAGGCCCATGAGAAACACATATGCAGAAGTGTAGTGTTATAAATGTAGTAGTGTGGCCAAGGGTCATGACTCAAAGCTGTTGGAGGAAGGTAAGATGTGAATTATGAAGCATGTTTTTTTGGTAGTTAAATTCCTGACAGATAAATATGTCTTTGAATGTTGTAGGGGATTCACACAAATACTTGACTACCTCATAGTTTAGCAATAGCAATTGAGTCCTTATGTATATATCTGCTAAAGTAGGAGTAGCATAGTGACGAATGTTGTGGTGTACAGTACTTCAGTATTGCTTCACTGTCATTCCTCCTTAACAAAGGTGATCACAGTGTCTGTGGTGAAACTCCTGAGAGAGACATGACACTAACTGACATGACTCGCAGGTTTCAACACAGGATCTGGGTTTAAAGTTTCCACACATGATCTATCTTCGTCCTGTCCTCCTTACAACTGCTAATATCACAAACATCTGCATTTACAGGAGTAATTTTGCATTCTTTTTTTCTTTCTTCTTTTGGTGAATTTGTGTCCCCTGGAAGTGGTTGCATGTCATATGACCTGCATGAGTTGGAAGACCTCATTGACTTCATATGCTGTGGCGACTGCACATCATACAAGTTACACATTTGCAGAAGGAAGTCCTGAAGTTTCCACAGACCGTCCTATTTCTGCTTTAGATCACAGACTATTTTCTCTTTACCTGGTGCTTTAACTACTTTAGATTAACACACATTTCTATCAAATGTAACACAAAGGTGTTCTTACTCTCACACAAACACAAAAGGGTTGGATTAAATCTTTATTTAAGACAAGTTTGCATGCACACACATTTAATAATGCAAGCACTGAACAAAACTTTATAAAATTATTTACACATTTAAATAAGATTGTATTAAAACTCCCTCCTGTTCTGTTTCCCTGGTGAATAATGTGCTTCTTTGGCATCAAGCGAGCTGCAAACTAGTTACCGACTCAGCACCTACCGAAACCACGACACACACATGTGGAGGTGCACTTCACTTTGTGCACACTTACACACCACAAACACTCTGATATCAGGTTCGCATTTACAGCTTTACATCACCTGAAAGAGAACACACCACCATAGATATAAAAAGATGACAAGCTACTATTTATTTTGTTGATGATAGAAAAAGATAAACAATCAAAGGCGCTGAAGCTTGTTCTAAAATGAAAGCCATCTTCATTTCAACAACTCAGTCATCAGAAATACAATTAAAAAAAATATTGAACCATGTGCCACTGAACAAACTGAACATTGATATTAATTAAATGTATTTTATTATCAAATGTCACTTAACTGTATAAGGTTGGTTGAAAGCAATAATATTAAGTTGAACCAAATTAAAAAACCTAATTTTAAAATGATTGCTTTCAACCAACCTAGTACAGTTATGTGAAATCTGTTGACATAATAAATGTGATTACAGTTTCAGTTTTTTCAGTCCACTTTTTGGAGGATTGAACATTTCCAAGGGGAAAACTGACAACCAGCAGAGAGATGGACCAGCTAGCAAATGAGCAGATGGAAGGACTTATGAATCACTTGAGGAAAATAAGCAGGGCCGGGATCAGCAGGATGGGGCTGGAGGCCGGAGCCCATGCTCTGTTGTAGTTTTGAACCCCTTGGCTGCGCTGGGGCCCGTTACAGTCGTCCCCGAAACAGCACTCCATCTCGGCCCCTGAGCCGGAGCCCTGAGCCTTCTGGCAGAACGACTTATACGTGCACGACTTCATCACAGTATCTTTAAAAAAAGAGAGAGGGACATCAATAAGGCCTAAGGCGACGTTCACGGTTGAATTGCTCTGAAATGATTGAAGACGGCCGACTTCTCACTGCTGCTATGTGATGCTGTGAACCCGATGAACCCCCTCACACACACTCAGCTGCTCTTCACGCACACACACACGATTAGAAACACACATATAGACATACAGAGAGTTTGTGGTTATTGTAAACTGCCGGGAACAGCAACCACAAATGATGAGAGACTGGCTTTATGATCACACACACACACACACACACACACACACACACACACACACACACACACACACACACACACACACACACACACACACACACACACACACACACACAATAATCTATTGGCCATGTAACTTCATTTTGGGTTTTAATAAAGACTTTAAAACCCTTCTTTCTTAATGGATGCAGCTATGTATGGAAAACAAAAGCTGCCAAAAAATGAAATAAAATGGAACAAAAATACATATAAGATAAATAAGTAATTCAATACAATAGAAAGATAAACTGGAAACTGAATAAATAGGAGAATTATTATATCAAATATGTCAAATAGTATCATTAACTTTTAGCCGACATTTACTTTTTATATTAGTTTTGGTACATTTATTATGATATTAAGTCAATTATAAAATATTGTTGCTATTTCTCTGTTTATTATTTGTATACTTAAACTTCTCTCTCACTTCTCTCTCATCTTGCTTGTGCTACATGTTTTCCTGAGGTTGTGTGTCTGCACCTATACAGTCTATGGTCTGCACTCACTGGGTCCTGTGATGGTGGAGCAGGCATCAGCGTACTGAGGGCAGGAGGTGGAGCCCTGCCGGATGCAGGCCTCCTCATTGGACGCCACACATGTGAGACACTTGAGGGCGTGGCCTGTGCAGACAGAGCAGGAGAGAGCACCTGACTTAACACTAGGCACGCATGTTCACAGGGGAGTGTGAGCATGCACACACACACACATGGAAAATGCCCCACATTGTGCAGAAATCAAGCCAAAACTGCTTGGCTACAGCATATTTGACCAAGGTTTGCTTTAGGAAAACAAAGCTCCTGTGACTCAGAAGGAAGTCTGTCTGCTGCTTGTCATCTAATGTCTGAAAACCTCAAAAGGCAGTGTTGGTATGAGTGTTGTAGAAACTCACTGTGGCAGGCCAGAGAGACGAGCAGCAGGGCCAGAGCGGTCTTCATGGCAGCCGGCTGACGGACTCTGTTTCTTCAGTCCAGAGGAAGAGTGGATGAGTGTGATGGAGGGACAGCGTGGGTTGAGGTGCAGATTTAGGCACGGGAAGGTGTCTGAGGGCATTAAGGTCTTAAGTCTGTAATCTCCCTGCATGCTGCACAGCCAGCACTGCAGCCTGTAGTAATGGACTTAACCAAGCGAGCTTTAACAGGAGACACGGTTACAGTTCAGTGTTATAAACAGAGTTTCAAGGTCATTTTTATAACTATTTTTAAAGACTGACTGTGTGTGGGAGCATTATAAAGCCAAAGGTCATTATTATTAACTCACATAACAGCCTCAGGTGGGATGAGTGTGTGTGTGTAAACACTTTGCACCAAGACTTTAGCTGAGGCCCATACACCAAAATAATACACACAGTGAGAATTTACAATATCGGCTTTAAGTCTGTGGTAAAAGCGATCATAAAAACGGCAAAAACTAATGTTAAGTACAAGAGATTTTGGAGAGCGCAAACCTCCGCCAAAGCCGTAGGTGTAAGTACAAAATAATTGGTGTATCCACCCTGTTTCTCAGATCACCTCCAATATTTCATTGGCTGCTTCCTTGGCCTGTCCTACACCAAGTTACATGAACAAAAACGATGACCCATTTTTTCAAACCGAGTTGAAAACATTACCAGAGGTGAAAAAAAACAAGAATAGCTTGTTGTCGAACAAATTATATGTATTTTTATTCAGGCAAATGTACACACATACTGTTAGTCAATGTATCAACACAAGTGTGAGATTCTCTCTTTCCTAATTTACAATTACAAACAATAGTAATTAAAGGAAGAAACTAAAGTGACAAAACAATAATTTTGACAAAACAGCTGAGAAGTAACACAACATAATAATGGCACAAAAATATAAACGGTGGCACATCAGTGGGTTTGTGTCTGGGGTATCAGACATTACAAAGTTTTCGATGGTGACCGACCCCACAGAACTGAGTGTTTGAATCCCATTTACTACTCAGTCATTATTACATAGTTTCACCAGTGATTTGAGGAAACAATTTGCTTTCTGAGAAAAACAGAGCTCTTAAAAAAGTCATGCAAAGAAACAGACTATGCAGAGCTGTAAATACAGGCATGAGCGCTCACATCTTTATCACGCAGAAGCAACTGACTAAACTTCCTATAAAGCTGTCAAACACTTCACGGTAGGAGGTAAAGGTGATAGTGGACGCTCAAGTGCATCACTTGCTAATCGTATAATTGCTTAAAATATCTTTAATCAAAATATAGTCTCCATGTTTTAATATTTTCCAGTTGTTTAGGACTTTTAACACAGGATGGTTAACGTACAGTGGTGGAGTGGATTAAGTGTTTTCATTATAAAGTTCTCTTTACTGTTTATACAATCACGGGTCTGTTACTCTCAGGTTGTTATACTTCTTTGCGACTGAGAAACAGTCGATTTTAATTGTCCAGAATCTAGGTAAAGCTAACGCTGCGAATTATTCTCAGCTTTAGTTTCACTGACTCGTTCTGGATTCAGTATCCGTCCTGAACAAACCAAGGCCTCCGAGGACTTCTGTATTTCCTCAACTAATCGTAAATCCTTTCCTCCAGTTCTTGTGCAGCCTGACTTTGACCCTGACCTCATTTTGCCACACACACCCCTGAGCTTTTCTCTTTCAGAGTTTATAGCATAAAATACATGTCATGGATCGTTGCTTTCATAAAAAAATCAATCCTTGTCAAAGCCTAATCAAATATACTGTATGCAAAAATGTAACTCCTAAACAACCCCGCCTGCATGATGTCATTCAAGGAGTTGCTGGGAATTTAGCTGTTAATCCGTTGGGAATTAAAGTTGAATCACAAGCAGGTTGTTGCTCGCTGGCATGATGGGCAAAGCACAAGATGGCCTCGTAACAGACAAACAAAACAACGTGACCACATACATATAACACAGTTCCTACTAGAACAATTATTGGCATGTACAAAACCGTCTAGGTTCGGGTCAGAAGTAGTGCAATTGTAGTTTACAGGAAGTTACTTTAGACATCTGTACAGGAGCATTCTCTGTGTTGCAGGGCTGGCAGAGGGTATGGAGGTTGCTTCTTCATGCACAGGGCGTCGCTCTGAGGACTCGCAGTCACTCAGTCTATTGTTCCCATTTTGGCAATCAGCTCATCGCAGATCTTGGTCAGTTCCTCCATCTCTTGATTCTATGGCAACACAACAAAGGATGACTATGCAAATATATACATTTTTGTATGACTTAATATGACTTTTAGTTGTAACAGAGTACTACTAAACTCTGGTAGTTCTACTTTTACTTAAGTACAAGATCTGAGAACTTCTCCCACCTCATTTCAAGCGATTTTGAAACTAATGAACTTGCACGATTTTAGCTTTTCTGAATTTGTTACTTAATGGTTGATTGTACTTTTTGTAAGTTGTTTTGGATAAAGCATCAGCTAAATGTGATGTAATCTAGAATAAACATGCAGAAAGATGAGGAATTAAGTTACCTTCTGCTGCAGAGCTTGTTCCAGAGACTCGTTCTTCATCTGCTCCTTCCTCAAACTGGCCGCCATCGCCATGTTCTCTGAGCTCGCCTTTCCACGCACCTGAGCGATCTCCTCATTGGCCCTGAGAGAGGAGTGAAACGAGGGAAATTAACAACATCTCAAAATTGTTTGTTAAAACTGGCCTAACAGGATAATTGGACTTAATTTAAATCCCATATATACTTGTCTAGTTTCTCCTCAGCATGGATTTTGAGCGTCTGGTATCTCTGCTCCTCCTGCTTGACTCGGGCCAGATACTCCTGAGCACATTTCTTCAGCACCTCCTCATTCTGCACGAGGAAACAAAAAACAAGCACTGTGTTATTGCTGCTTTAAACCAGCTGTGATCAAGATTTGTGGCTTTATTAAAGATTTTAATGCTGCACTAGTTGTTGAAGAAGAGAACAATTTCATAGGTTTGAGGCTCAGGTTTATCTAGTGACCTTTAAAGGGGACATGTGCATATTTGTATTTTGTGCCTCTACTGTTACACAGGGGCGGCGGGTACTGTAGGCTAGGGAAGGCTAAGCCTTCCCAAATATTTGTGTCACTGCATGGTAAAAGAAAAATATAATGTATAATGTGTGTGTCTTTGACATTAGCGCTGCTATGCAGCCACCTGTGCCCTGTACTACGAAGCCAGTTCAACATACCCTGGATACGTTTGAGTTATGATATCTTAACTAACCCTAACAAACGCGCTCTCGCTAAGCGGTCCTACGACGCTGGTTATCAACTCGGTAAATCAAGCCAGGGTTTTTCTCTCCAGCTGAGAGCGTGTTCACGTGAAAGGGGCGGGGTTAGCAACATTTGACCAATCACAAACAGGGACAAGTGTAGCCTAGCGCAGCGTCATACTTCATTAATGAAAAGTAAACTAATATTAGACAAATATGAACTTTAAACATCCATGATGACTTAAACATATATTCTAGGATACAAGCCACATAGTTGCACCTGCAAGGTGAATACAACTGGTGAAAGAAAAAGTGTCTGAATGCATACATTAACAATTGGGTCAATTGAGTCATTCTACAGAAAAGGTGGAATCTGGGTGATACAAATCTGCTGAAATATATTCCTTCTAAAAACATCTAAAAACCTGTTAAATAGCAATAACTAACTCTTAACTTGATGAATCCACAACAAGTAGAGCTTACATTTTTTAATTTTTTTTTAATTTATTATTTTTTTATTATTTGTATACTTTATACAAAGCTTATTTGTATAGGAATGTCACTGGTGTTACGTGTTACCAGGAAGAAGAGTAACACCAGTGACAATTTGGAGAAAAACACTACCATTTTAACAAAATGGCTGCAATGTGTCAGACCAAATGTGGCTTCAGTCAATATCAAAATCGTTTAACTCTTCAATACAATACATTTTCCCATTCAAATGTTCACCCCTAGGGCTATGCAATGAGTAACACTAACGACAGACTTGAAAGACGCATGTAAAAGAAAATTTGAAGATAAAATGACACCTTTAACAAACAAAGTAAGAAGTATCTGACTTTCCTTATGTCTTTGTCCACTGCACTGCCTCAAATGATCTCTTACAGGTGGCACTTCAGAGACAGTACATTATTTAAAAAATAAAAGCGTTTTGTGTAGCAGTAACACCAATGACGTAATTTTGGGTGACTGACATTTATTTGATATTATTAATAATAATTTAATTTCAGTGTTATATTTAATGCTTGTAATGTTATGTAAATATTAATTAAATTTATTTATTGAAAAAAAAATCTTTTAAATTAAAACTATAGGCTCCACTTCCATGTATGATCAAAGTGACAAGGCAGTTCCTTGAACTTGACATTTTAAATAAATTGCAATTTACGTATATAACCATTTTTTATTTATTTTTTATTTAGTACCATTGCAAAGACAATCTCTATTTATTCAACATATAATGAATGTGAGTATTAGGTCAACGTCATGTATTTTGGTGTCTGCAAAAGTAAGTGACAGCACTTCCACCTTTTCTGTAGAATGACCCAATTATGATATCACTGCCCCGTCAAAAACACGAGTGGATCTGACTTTAATTACATTTGATTTGAGTGTTTCGTCAAACTTAATGTGTTGCTTAAAATAATACTTCTGCATACAGTATGTGACAATGTAAGTGTTGCACGGCTCGGCTGACTCAGGTAAGGAAATATATGATATATTATGATATTATATGATCGATGATCTGATTGATAATGTGATATGAATGATAAGTGTGACACGTTGGCGTCTCTTCATACGGCAGTTTAAACTGTACACACTGAGCTCTGATCAGGCGGTGCCCGTGCTTTCACTGAGTTGATCTCTTTTCTATAGACGCCGGAGGCAGGCAGCGTCAGGTAAAACAAGTTATTTAGCCTTCCCAAACCTGAGCCACACGCGCCGCCTATGCTGTTACATGTTTTAATGTTCAAAAATATCTTTATTTTTCTCATACTGCCTGTGCTGCAGCACCTCTTTTCCCCCTCTGTCTGAAACCAGAGCCTAGTCTGCTCTGATTGGTTAGCTGGCCGGCTCTGTTGTGATTGGTCAAACTCCCACCGTGGCAGACCATGAATGAAAACCTGTATAACAAACTACAGGAATGGGGAAAAAAACCCAAAAAGGTATAATAGGTCCTCTTGAATGTAAACCTCTGCTACTCAACAACTGCCTCATCCTTATTGTGTTGATAACCCTCTTACAGCCCCCCAATGTGTACCACTATCAGCTGAAACTGACATGGACTAGTTCTATGACTTACTTTCTTAAATCCCTCCAGGGTGCTCTTCAGATTTTCATATCGCCGAAACACGTCAGAGAGAGAGCGCTCCACAGAGTTCAGGTCTGCCATGGTGCTTTCTTTCTCCGCCGTCACAGCCTGCAAAGTCTTCTGGGAAATCTTGGTGTTGTGCTGCTCTTCCTCTGTGAAGAGCAAAGAAGAAGTTGTTATTGTTGACAGCCAAATCACCTACATTTTTGTATTTAGTCTGGTAACAGCAGGAAACATTGCATTCACATCAAAAACAAGGATACATCAAAAATAAAGAGAAAAGGCTTGAAATTAATGTATTGTAATTGCCGATTTGTTTCTTCTGCGTTAAAACAATGTGGAATAATGTGACCGTGTCTGACACTCACAGTACATGATACAAGTACACACTGTGGCACTTGGATCATTACAGTAACCAGTGAAACATACGTTTGCATACGTTTTTTCCTAACATTTCTACTCACCAATCATCTGAGCAATTGTCTTCTCGTATTCTGCAACAATCTTCCTGTAGAAACAAAACACATGAGATCTTAACCTAATATTTTGACAGATTGTAGACAGATCTTTACCGTCAATCAGAAATGGCTGAGTAAAAACATCATGCATCAAAATGTTTTCTCACCTCATCTCGCTGACTTCTTGTTTGCTGTCCTCGTACTTTTTCTTCCAGTCGTTTGCCACTGCCTCTTTAGTGATGATCTGAAACGAGATGTAAGTGTAAAGAAAATACTTAAAAGATTCATTCAGGGAATACCAACAGGCTGACGACACATTTGAAGTTGGATGAGTTAACAGTTTGTACCTCCTCTCTGATGAGGGTGAGAACGGCCTGTTTTTCTGCCTCACTGATGCAGATGGAATCCAGGACCTGACTTCCTGTTTTCTTCATTTCCCCTCCCTCCGCTTTGTTCTTCCGCTCGCATGGGTCCCCGAACTGCTGCAGGTAGAAGGAAATCAGTTTCATTATACATCCAGAAGTCTAAAATGGGCTCTAAATAAATACACAAAAGTATTCAGGACAAATACACAAGTGGCATGGATGCTATTATTCAAACCTTTGTTCTGGCTTTTTTGTTGTTAAAAAAGCTGTCCTATAATATTTATCTTTCACAAGTGGGAAACTAACTGTACAGTAAGTGCTTAGAGAAGCCAATTCAAACCCTTCAGTTGTACCCTTTCACCAATAAGTTACAATGCAACAATTTGTTGTAGTAGAAAACAAATAGCAACATTAATGTATGTAATAAAGTGCAAATTATTAAAATTGCTTTACTGTCATTTTGAAACCCTGAACCCCCTCATTTCAATCCTTTCTTCTCCTCGTCTCCAAATCCCTTCTCCTCTCTTGCTTTGTACCTTCCTGGATTATGAGAGCCATATTCTAGTCTCATAAATGACAATCTTAATCCACCTGTCACTTTAGTAAATCATAATGTTGGCAGACACTTAGTACCTCCTGCTGTCGTACAGCACAGTGCGGCCATCTTATCAAACTTCAGCTTTAGATAATAATGCAGGTGCCTCTAAACAGAAAACCTGAGAGTCTATTACATCTCTCAGTCACACTTCACTTTCACAAACAACTAAACAAAAATTGCCAATATGACTTTTACATTCTCAAATGTACAGACATGCCTGGACTTGTCTCGGTTTCTCGGTAACAGTTTAGCCTAAATAAAAAAAAGAGTGCTTTACTCCCATCTAGTTGCTTTTATTCTTTAGATAAAAAAGATCACATGCATGAGAGCACCACTATGATAATCTATAGCATTTATATGTGCCTGACAGAGGGTAAAAACATGAATTATTGATTGTGGTGTTTAGTTACCACAGAGCAGCAGTCCTCGGGCTTTGATGTCACATGGCAGTCTTGAGCTGGAAGAAAGTAATACGAATTTAGGATCTGGGATAATGCGCCACGTAATATAATATAGTTCATCGTCATGACCAGCAGGTGGGAGTACATGAGAAATATTACAACATTTCTGAATGTTGATTTGACAGGAAGATCACCACATGTTCACATAAGAGCTGCAGCAAATGATTCAAATGATTCAGATTGTTATAATGATCTGTTAGGAGTGGTCTCATTAATGAGACCACTGGCAGTTTGCTTCCACTTTAGTAATGACTCACAAGGAGCCTCGGTGTCTGCTCAAGATATTGTTTCAGAATGTTATCAAACTCGTTTTGAGAACTGCTTGTTCACTCGAAAAAAAAGAACATGATACCTTTAGAAACTATAAAACCACAGGCTACAGCACGTAATATACTGCAACATCTGCAACAGACTTAAGCTGTGTCACATGTGATGTGCATGATCATACAATCCCACAGCAAACACTGTGAACTGTTGCTCTGAACACCTGCACTGATGTTGTGTTTATTACAGGTTTCAGTGCACAAGCTATTGATTAAATGATGTGTGCGTCTGTAACAGATAAGCACAGATGACCTTCTTGCTGTCCGGTATTGATCGAGTGAAGAATGCTGTCTAAACTTTAACTTCCTGTACAGTCGAGTCCGTCACTGATAACTGAGTTTCTCTATATTGTATCAGTGTGCGCTGTAACTGGGGGGCACAACATACAAATCCATGTTCATTGATCCGGTGACTCACCGCTTTGGTCCTTGTCCGGTTTGACACTGATCGCCAGCTTCTCCTCGTCTGTGGCGTGGCCTCCATGGTGGTCATCCTTTAACAGCTGCAAACATAATCAAACCCACTGAATGCATGAAGCGTTCCTGATGGTAATATTACCACGTGAGTCAGATGAGCAGCAGACACATGATCAGTTCTTACCTGTCCACTGAAATCCTTTTGCATTGGCTGGTTCGGCTTTACTTTACAAGAGTTCCTGAGAATGAAAGTCAATAACAACATAAGTGTCAACACTAACCTGATGATACATCTGCCTGTGTGTACATGTGGGCGGGTGTGAGGATGAGAAGAGGAAGCAGGAGACTGAAAGCCTTACAGCCTCATGGCTCTGCTGGGAGTGTGCGCTGAGCTCGCATGCTCTGCTTAAAGTGCTGAATTACGCAGAATTAAAAGCAGATCAATGAAAGAGATTGTTGCCAAATTGAAATAAGAGCAAGGACCTTTGTTCAGAGAGTTAGAGGGAATTACAGGATTTCCGCTAACACTCTCTCTACTTTCTAATTCTACTCCTGCCTTTTTTTCAACTTCTTTGTGAATGAAGGAACATTTAGGTCAGGTTGTTTCCACATCAGCTCTTGGAGCAAGCCTGGCACTGGACTTATTAAGAACAGCAAGAACTGACGTTCAAACACACACACGTCTGCACACAGTACTTACAACAGAACACAGAGGAAATGGACTTGCTCAGAAGTCCTGATGCCACACAGAGCGAAGGGGAACAGAATGAAAGTTTGGAAGGAAAGGGAAGGAAAGACAAAGGAAAGGACGGGATAGGGGTTAGGTTAAACATAAGGTGAGTGCAGGGTTATTATAGTTCAGTAAATAAAAGACTAGAATATTTAAATTGAAAATGTAAATCTTCTATTACCACTTAACTAACTAAAATGTAATAAGCAAGTATTTCCCGGGCTTTCATATTTTAAAGTATCAATCAAGAGACGTGACGCGAATGGCCTCAGTAAGAAATGGGTGCAGGCAAACCCTCCAAATAAGGATGACCTGACTGTATATAATGTCAATAAATACATTATGTCCCCCTGTTCCTATAAAAGTATTGTGTCTCATTTCAAATCAGCCATTTTAACAAAGAAATATATGATACAAATATTGTGGAATCTCAAAGCAAATGTATTTGATATAAGTACTGAGGTCAAATCTGATTATCTCTCTGCACAACGCTGAACTTGAAGAAAGACATAAACAATTTAATAGAAATGTGATCAGGATTCATCATTTGCAGGAACATGAAAACACCACCAGAGGGCGTCGTGAGACACTCCTCGTTACAACTCAGAGAATATCTCAGAAAACACAAAATATGTGTTAAAAATACACTAAACATTAAAAACGGCTTTAAACCTTCTTTTGTGGAATAGTAAAAGAAAATCCTACTGAAAAAATTCAAGTGAACTGAAATCCTAAAATAAAATCATAACTAGAAGCAATAAAAAAAACTATAATAACGGTGGTGAGGGATGAAAGGATGTGCAGGAGAGACACAGATGCTGAGATAACTTTAGAAGATGCACAACAGGCAAACATAGTTGGTTAAAATGGGAACACTTCCATCCCTCCAGGTTCATCGTGAACAATAGAGAGCATTCATTACCGTTCCCTACTACGGCCATAAAAGAGAGAGCACTGTTTGTTCAGCCTGAAAATCAGTGAGTCATATCAGTTCAGTTTCAGCCACACACTCACTGAAGAGACCTTTGTGTATTTTTTAACGAGTCTTTTACTCACGTGATTACTGTGCCGTTGGTCTCACAGGTCAGTTTTGAGTTGGAGTTCTTGTTGCCGTTAAGCAAATCAGGGTCCACACAAATGTCATGACTGGGGGTGGAGTTGGAGTCCGTGCTGGAGTCAGACACCGCCGGGGCCACGTCGTCCACCTCCGAGGGGTCGGGTTTGTTCAGAGAGGAGAGGACGGACAGTGATGGGGGCCGGAGGGCTGGAGGCTGGGGCTGATGGACCCCTCCAGGGCTGGGTTTGTTGCTGAGGGTCAGGTTGAGGTTCTGGTCCAAACCGAAGCTGCGGTTGTTGGTTCTGGAGTTGCTGACGTTGTTCAGCGAATCAACATCTGGGGATGAATCTGGGCCGACCTCCTGGTTGGAGTTGTTGTCCAAAAAGTGGTTTGTACCTATAAAAAGAGAAGAAAAAGTAGGTCAGTATGTTACTAGTTAACATAAGGTTTATAGAGGTGCCTCTCAAAATGAATACAAGATAAGATTAGATAAGATGGACCTGTGTTGATCCCTGTAGGAAAATGCAGGTGTCAAAGCAGCAACAGAATGAGACAGAAACACGTGTCAATATACACAGGGATAAAAGGAATACATGTAAAATCATAAAAAATAGAATCAAATAAGAATAAACATGTATTATCATTATGAATATAAATAACAAGAAACTAAACTCTGGCATTATAATAATAACATTTATAATTGAATATGGCAACAGACATATAATAGAGACTTGAGAGGAATAAAACAAGTCAAAAACAACATACAGAATCAGTGAAAAATGTATTCAAACAGATGGGTCTTTAAGTTTTTTTTAAGTTGTTCGCAGATGTCAACGCCAAAGGTCAAAAGAGAGTTATAAAGTTGAGGTAAATGTTGGGCAACACCAAACTAAAGAGTTATAGGAGGAACCATGAAAACCAATTGCTACTGAGAGAGAAACTATTGTCAGAAAGGTAGAGGGATAAAAGCAGATTGGTATCCTTCGTCTAACCTACTTTCTCCATCCTGTGGCGACCTAATGATAGTATCTTTCATTTCGGGATTTACTTGAAATGATGGCCTTTCGTTCTCCTGTTAGAACATTTAAGATGGCTGCTGACTTCCTCTCAGAGCACTTCACATCCTGTTAACAGCTAGCTAACGACCACAGCAGCAGGCTCTGTTGAGTCACACTGCTGCTGAAACACAGGACTCTCTGTTACTGAAAAATACACCCACTGTAAAAACTCTCACAACTACCCACGATAATACAACGGAAATAACTCTAATATATTCTCCTGTGTTTCTTCTCAAGTGGCTCACAACTTGAATGAACTTATTGTGTCCACCTTTGACGGATAACAGCTTCTCACATCGTTTGTCATGACTTGAGGCGTCATGACTGTGGCCTATTACATCATACATTCAATATTGCAAGTTTATGTAAGCTTCTGCTCAAAATCTGGGTACTTTCAGACACACACACACCCTTCAGAGAGGGTAATATATGAGGGGGAACCACACCCAGTTCTGCAGAGTACACCCCACCAAGTGGCCTAGCAACAAAGACAACATCAGGCTTTAGTGCAGTTACACAACTCTGTGAAAAAGAGGAAAAGGAGGGAGAGAAGGAAGTAAGAGAGGAACAGTATAAGTAGTCAAATGGCTGTCTAGAGTTTCAGCTACACCCTGGAGCTACAGTACATACAGTTTGATTGTAGCCTGTGGTCATAGGCGGATTTTGCGGGGGGGCAGGGGGGGCATTGCCCCCCCTAGTGGCTGAAATATGTTACAGCATTACTACTTCTAAAACTGTTACAATACAAATATTTTGTATATCAATATTTTAATAGATGTAATATAATGATTGTTACAATACAAATCTGAATAATATCATATTTTGTTTGAAATAATTTCATTTTGGAGCAGTCGCATGTTGTGACGTGTGTGATGTGTGTGTGTGTGTGTGTGTGTGTGTGTGTGTGTGTGTGTGTGTGTGTGTGTGTGTGTGTGTGTGTGTGTGTGTGTGTGTGTGTGTGTGACGTATGAGGTTAAGGACACAAGTTCCCTTGCTTTTTTTTTTTTACATACAAGCAGGGTTCGTACGGTCATTGAAAACCTGGAAAAGTCATGGAAATTCAAAATGCAAATTCCAGGCCCTGAAAAAGTTATGGAAAACAATATTTTTCTCAAAGTTTTGGAAAAGTCATGGAAATGTAACTAAAGTTGCGTCAAATATAATTTACATTTTATCTAATCGCCGAAATAATCTGCGGTCTCAAACTGTGATGTGCCATCATGACGCACATGGTGTTATTTTTTAATATATGAAGCGCGAGCTGTGTGCTCGAGTCTTCCTGCCTGTCGGGCCGGCTGAACTCTGCTGCTCCGGGTCAGCTACATTATCTACGGTGAGTTCGTTAACTGTGCGGAGTCACTGTGGCACAGACTGCAAGCTGGTGAACAGCTGTTAGAACGGGCCGTTCAGGTGTTCAGAGCAGAGCGGCAGAGCGTGATGTGAACTGAAACGTTTTTCTGTCGCAACATCATTTAAGGAATCGTTGAGCTAGCTAGCTAGCATACATTGTCACTATCTGCTAACGTTAGCTTTAGCCTTCGTTTTCTAATAGTTTTGTTCATAGGCTATAAACAGAGGTGGTATAAGTATAGATATTGTGCTAGAGTAAAAGTAGAAGTACTCAGATCTTGTACTTTAGTAGAAGTACTCAGATCTTGTACTTAATTAAAGTATAGTACTCAGATCTTGTACTTTAGTAGAAGTACTCAGATATTGTACTTAATTAAAGTATAGTACTCAGATCTTGTACTTGAGTAAAAGTAGAAGTACCATAGTGTCTGTTACAGTAAAAGTCCTGCATTCAAAATGTTCCTCAAGTAAAAGTAGAAAAGTATTCTCATCAAAATATAGTGAAAGTAGCGACAGTAAAAGTAGTCATTGTGCAGATTGGTCCATTTCAGAATAATATATATGATATGTTTTATAATGATTGATCATTAAAGTGTTCTCAAAGCTGGTGAAGGTGCAGCTAGTTTGAATGACTTTGTATACTGCAGGGTAGCTGGTGGATTTACTCCAGGTGGAACTAAAGTCTGATTTAACACTTGATTAGATTTCACATCATTCATCCAGATCTGTGAAGTAACTAAAGGTATTAAATACATGTAGTGGAGTCAAAGTACACCATTTACCTCTGAACTGTAGTGGAGTACACAGTAGCAAAACATTGAAATACTTAAATAAAGTACAAGTATCTCAAAATTGTACCCACGTATAGTACTTGTTGAGTTTATGAACTTAGTTACTTTACACCAGTGGCTATATAGATAGAAAGACTAAGCCTTGCACAGAGGCATGAAAATACATTTTCAAAATGCTCAACAGTGCTGCCAAAATTATAAACTGACTGCTACACAATTAAAATAAATGCTTTTATATATTTCTATTAGATGTGACTCTTTAGCGTTTCTGTTATTATTAACACTGCTGCTTTAGTTGTTCTGACTGCTAACATCCTCTGTTATTCCTCATTTAAAGCCGATATTCCGTGGGGTCGGGGGGCTCGGATGCTTGTCACCTTTTTCATACCTGATGAGTTTGCCTCCCTGACTTGCTTCAGCGTGTAGAAGCTAGTAAGCCTACTATTTGATTTGTTTTAGATAGGCACTACATGTTTCATATGCAGACCTTATTTTCCTGTTCCATGTTCAAATAAAGCATTTTCAGTGGTAATTTTTTTTTGGTCATGGAAAATTAGGTAAAGGTCATTGAGAAGTCTTGGAAAAGTCATTGAAAATCATTGGTGAAAAAGTGTATGAACCCTGTACAAGTGATTCAGCTATTGTATTACAATAAGATATGCGGTGATTTTTAAAACGTCCAATTTCTGGGACGTTTAAGGCGTCTACTTCTGCACTAAGTAGGACACTGGTTAATAATATTGTAGCGTGTTCAAGTAACCAAGGGATATAGTAGTTATCAAATAAGTATAAGATGTGCACAGTTATGATAAGTTTTACAGATGTAATGCACTGTTGTTGGGGGGAGAGACCGCCCCTTCCATATGAGTGTGTGTGTACGGCGGGCATGAGGCCTGCATGACGAGACGAGTTGTGTTCGTATGTGGAAAAGTCATACTCAGTGCGGTGAACGCTGGTTTTATTGCTACTGTATCCGTAGCACCCCACGCAATAGTTGGGACTGTGTACTGACGTCAGTAAAAAAGGTTTGCCCCCCCAAGCGCAAATGTCAAACTCCGCCTATGCCTGTGGTCGTTCATGAATAGACGATTAAAGTGAGCTGTTAAAGTCCAATTATAGTCAACAAGAATATCACTTTCTCAAGTCAATCTTTTATTCATGAATCCAACCCCAGACTTTGTTCAGAGCATGTGACTGTTTTAGCATGAAAAGGAGACTGTTATTGTCTGCGAACTAGACTTAATAATAAACACTTTAATCTCTGTTATTATCTGGCACAGTGTCCCATATGCCGAGTCAAATCGTGTCTAATATCAACCGGTTGATCCATCCAAAACATGAAGACTAATTTAATTCTGATACATGTACACTTCATGTTAAAATCACTATAATGATAACTGATGGAGTATAAACTTTAGGGATATAGCTTTTTGCACAGAAGATGCACTCCAGATATCTATTACCATGGTGATGTGTGCTACTTGAGTGGGTGAAAGCAGGGCAGCGGGAGGGGATGGGTGAGGAGGGGGATGTTGATTAGAAAGCAGTGGGCTTCTGTTGCAGCTTCAAACAAACTGGATTCATCTACTACCCATTTATCAGACGACGTATCAGTCTGTGAAACCAGGTGAGGGCTCATTTACCTTTATTTTCATAAACCATATCTGCTGATAGCAGGTCTTTCTGATCAGCAAAAGCAGGCATAGCAACAACGTGGCCAACATAAACAAGGAACAACATAGTGACAAAAAGGAAGAGTGCACATTGCGTAAACAACATGACTTAAATCTCAAGACATGTTTGCAATTTTTGCAGTTTACACAAAATACCTTACCCGAATAACTCAAAACAAGTTACACTATCTACATCAGGGGTCGGCAACCCCTGGCACGCGGCACCGTAACCAGTGGCACACTAGGAATAAGTGGAATAAGTGTGCAAAATATTGAAATTGTATTTTCGGATCCTGAACGAGACCGCCGCCAGAGCGCGTCTCCCCGTTACCTGCAGAAGGAAGCCATGCACGCAACGCAGCCCCGCTCTCTTTATCTCCAGGCGTCTTTCTGCCGCTTTCCTCCGTGGTGCTGATTGTTTCACCACGGAGGAAAACACTTCACAAATTGCAGTACCCATAAGGAGCTGTACAAATGCCGCAGTTTTTGCGTGGCTGTGTATTTAGTTGAAAGCCCAGTGGCGATCTGCTCATCTCTCATCGAAATAATATGCTACAAAGGGGCGGACTGGCCATCTGTGTGTTGAACTTTCCTGTCGGCTCCCAGACCGTAGTCGAGGAGGGCAGAAGCAACAAGCTTCAGGTTCAATAACCCACTTTAGCTTAAATGACTGGAGAGAGGCGAGCTCTTCTTGGGAGGCCGTGCATTTATTTAGCTGTTCTTCTGTCTCACAAAATACATCACAGACCTCTGTTTTTCTGCTTCCTCGTTTCACTTCCAGAAACATACACACACTGCCTCACTGTCGCTCTACCATCCATCCATCCACACACACACACACACACAAGCCACACCCCTCTCTCTCTCAAAGGGACAGCGATCTCATCTCACTCGGCATGACCCTAATATCATAACATGTGTGTTCTGGAGAATCACAGAACTGGCGATCGTCCTTATTATTATGCCGTTTAAACCAATTATTTAAATTATTTAAATTCGGCATCATGTAGGCTAAGTTGCGCTGACAGGTCCACACACTGCTTCCACGCAGCGAGGCTCCCCCGCCCTCCTGCTGATAGTTCACGAGCGTCAAGCTACTCAACTTCATATCAAAAAGGTTGCCGACCCCTGATCTACATCATCAGGTTTGAGTGTAGGAGAACATTTGTGTTTGTCATTTGTACAAAAAGGCTTTCTTGCCATGACAGAACGACATAAAGGTTAATGCAAAAAATCACTTCAAACCTGCTGATGATTTTAGCATTTGTAAATGTGCAAAAAAGTTATTGAAGAACTAAAAACTAATGAATACGACTAGTGTTACATTTAGGAGGTATTTTCACAGTGGACATTGCACCTAATCTACCAAAGTATCAGGCTGGAGACCGTCCTTAAGGCCACATCAAAATTGGGAAAAGGGCATTTGTGTATTTTTGGGCAGAAAATATGTTACAGAAAATCTTGAAATAAAAATGAATTGATCGTGTGAAATTTAGGCTGATTAATTTCAATGTTACTGTTTTATCTGATAATGAAAAGGACTTTTAAAATGTCTCTCTATAAATCTGAGTCCCCTTTGCTGGATTTGTGGTTTCTTTTAATGCTGACATCTTCTGTGTTATCTGTCTTGTGTTTTTCCTAAAAGCTTGCTAGCGACCAGAGAATATCTAAAATAATTGTCCAGGTGTCAGAGTTTGACCTGTATGAGAGCCCTGGGTCGTCTCACCTGTGTGGTTGGAGTTGTCCAGTTGGCTAAGGTGCTTCGCAACACCAGGAGACTCTGCCTCTGGCGTCTCAAAAGTCCCCTCTGAGTCTGAACTGTAGAGAGAAAAAGAAAACTTAAAAAACATCTGTCACAATAAAAGGAAAGCTATGAGAGACAGGAATACAGCAGGAGAGAGGTCACAACTACGACTGGGTGCTGGGAAATCATCTGGAACTATATAGGAAATCTCCAGTTGAAATTGTTCTGAGACAAATATGATCCATAAAACCAAATGAACTACGTCATGAAGTTACTTAGAGCATGTGATAACAGCAGTCCACTGTCTTTGAGGACAATGAGCCATTGACGATGATGGTAGGTCTAAATAAGAAAATGCTTCAAACAGCTGTTTAATTAATTTCTCCCATTTTTCCCTTTTAAACTGGGTTTTCTCTGGAAGTTTTTCCTTGTACGATGTGAGGGTCTAAGGACAGAGGGTGTCGTATTGTCATACTGATATTCTGTACACACTGTGAAGTCCACTGAGACTAATGTAACATTTGTGATTGGGCTATATAAATAAACATTGATTGATTGATTAATTATGTAAATACAATAAGAAAAGCGCTTATTGTTTGTAGCAGTGTGAACTTATTTCTAACAAGAAAACATTGCCATCTAATGTCAATCTCCTGTTTTCCTTGAGTGATGTAAAAATAATAGATTTCAGGGTTCAAAGAAGCTCGAAATAAACAAGGCATTAATTTTAAAGGAAGTCGGAGGAAGAAGTGAAGCCCTGGAAGGCCACCTGCATCCTTTCTCCCTCAATAGGACACACTGTGTCCCAACACACACACACACACACACACTCTCTTTTGGTTTGCTATGTCAGCTGCCTAGCCAACCAGCCCAAATGTATTTCCAAACTGTGTAAAGACAAAAAGGAAAGGAGAGACAGGGATTATGTGTGTGTGTGTGTGTGTGTGTGTGTGTGTGTGTGTGTGTGTGTGTACGGTGTATACCCATTCCCAGCTACTTGAACACACATCAAAACATTGGCCCTTTAATGAAAAACAGCCCCAGAAGGAACAAAGCTCTCACTGCCAAAACCCAGACACACTCCATCTTTCTGATATCAGTTCACACATTCACACACTGTGGAGCCAGAGTTAATCCTAATATACATACACCCCCCCACACACACACACACACACTGAATTACGTCCCAGAGATGGCCCCATTGATGGCCCCATCGGCTGCAATCTTGGATGGTTACTTAGAAACTAGAAATGGAGAGAAACCGAATCAAAAGCTTTGGAAACTGGCTTTTTCTCTCCCCTTCCCCCAACTTTCAGCAACTGTTCCCAGACTGCCACACACACAAACTAACACACATACACACACAAAAACCAGCCTACATAGTCATATCCTTAGCATTTGGTGCCTCATAAAGAAACCGGATGGAGCAGACAGAGCAGAGACTCGTAAGAGTGTATTTTAGTCGTCTGTTTTTAGCCAATGACAGTGTGACCATGCCACAGCATAGGAAGGAATCAAGAGTATACCACCACAACTCTCTGTGTGTGTGTGTGTGTGTGTGTGTGTGTGTGTGTGTGTTGCTCTCTTCGTGTGTATTATCCACCACCTGTCAGTATGACTCAGGGGTATCTGCAGTCATCACACAAACAACCACTAGATCTATTGCTTTTTAATCCGAGGCAAGTACAAAGAATGACTCTTTCCTTTCAAGATACTCTCTTTGTTATTTCTTTAGCTGAAACCTAATTATACACCAACTATATCTCCCTCCTTCTCTGTTTCTCTTTCTCTCTCTCTCTCACACACACACACACACATTTTGGCCTAGCCCTCTTACTTGTACTCTCCTCCACCCTTGGATAGGGGTTGCCCCTCTTCTCCAGCTACTCCAGTCACTGCTGACCATGTCCATTTGGCCCATTGGACCGGAGACAACCAGGACATCGCTGCGGCACGTCAGGTCCAAAACCTGCTGCCACCTCCGAGACTTAACTGTAAACTTCCTCTTCCTCTGGAGAGATTGTCACTGCTGTCAACCAGTCTCAGTGATCTTCCACAGTCCTCTTTATTCCCCTCGTATTGTGAGCTGCTGTTGCTCTGTTGTTCTCTAAGGCTCGCGCACTTCCTCCTATGCTTAGCGGCTGAGCTTTCCCATCCTGCTCTTCTGTGTTGTTGACGATCGCGAGAGTCTCACGCTGCTGCTGCTGCTGTTTCTGTTTTGCTCTCCACAGCACTGACTCACACAGTGCAGATCACTGGAGCATCAGTAGTCACTCCTCTCTCTCTCCCCCCCCCCCTCCCCTCTCTGTCTGGGTGGACGATCAGCTGGTTAACAGACATCGGCTCGCCCCGCTTCTGTGTGTTTGCTATAACTCGCTCTCAGGAGTTTGCCTCCCCCTCTGCTCCTTTCTTTCAGGGTTTGCCAATTGTTGGGGGAAGAGAGGGGGGAGAGGAGAGGCAATGCTTCCTGTTTTAAGAGGCAAAGCAGCGTCTGGTTACTCTAGGACAAACACACTGCCAGACGTTTATGTCTTTAAGGAAGAGGAGATTAAACGTATAGCAATCAAGTTTTTCCTTTGACAGAAAAAGAATGAACAACTTTTGTTGGTAATATAGGTATTTTTTGTAATGCTAAAATAGTGTTTGTGTCCTCTTAAACACGGAGATGTCCTGCTTTTCATCATATTCAACTGAATACATGTTGGTGTTGGACTGACAACACAATACATGTTGAGACATTACCTTGGAAAACTAAGATTTTTCACAATTCCTTCCATCTTATCGATCAAAATAGAAGATTTAGAAAGTAATTAGCAAAATATGCGGTTAACAGTATGTTTGAAAAGATGCAAATAGATGAGTTTCGATTGAATATAAACTCATAGTGTATCAGGAACTCATAACCTTGTAATATCCAACCTCTCAAACAAAGCCCACCTCACAGAAATGACATAGTCCCTAATTCCCTTAAACAATATAAACCCAAACTAAGCTTGCTGACGTAAAAGACCACAAAGAGTTTGAAAGGTTAGTGGTTTGTTTACTCGGCAGCTCTCAGCAGAGACCATGCATCATTGTTGCAGAAAAACAGCACTAATGACTATTTTCTCTGGATGAACAAAGGGGGATAACAGCTACAGAGATGCAAAGATACTTGGACGAAGGACTGAGAATGTGCTTTGCATAAATACTTCACACATAAAGCTACAACTGTGACCGAACCTACAGAGGATCTATTGTCCACATCCAGGTCAGACAGCAAAGGAATCAATGCAGCAAACCTAGATTCAACAGCAATGCGAGTGACACACAAGTCATTTGGATTAAAGCTCTCATCTCTGCTCACACACTTTCACCCACACATGTGCTTCTGAGGCTGTTCATGGATGGCTTACATAACCAAGGCTTTCACATGTATACCTCTCTCTCTCTCTCTCTTTCACACACACACCCCCCACACACATACACACACATCTAGGCCAGATGAGAGGAGTTCTTTCGTAAAACATGGACCATGACTAATCTAATAAAGGAGGGTGATTCAGCCACTGTGAAAAAGGTGAACAGGGAAAGAAAGGAAAGCAGCAAGCAAAAACCGAAGGGAGTAAAACAGGCAGAAGCTCTGTCACAGATGACACTGAGCATAATTAATACGTGCCCACTCGAAGAAAAAAAGTCACGGACTGGTGAACACAGATAAAGATGCTCTGTTCAGTGTGTGATAGCTGCACTGACAAGAGGAGCAAATTAGAGGCAAGCCAGATGGAAAACAGCGTTCATTAAAAGTGAGGAGTGAGAGACGGAGAGAGAAAAGAGATAATAATTTGAAGGGAGCTTTTGGGCAGGGCCGCAACCTGAAACGCGCTCTTGTTTTTTCGTAAACATTCCTGGTATTGTCTCCTTTCTCTTCTTTGTCACCTTATCTGTCAGAAAGTACAGCCAAGAGGACAAACCTGTCTGTCTTGCATTGGACGGTGAAAGCTAAGTTGTCAACCTGCCTCTGGACTTGCAATGTCACACAGATAACACACGTTTGTCTTCAGTACATACAGAGAGACATCAAGCAGAATTAGACAGCGGGTAAATCTTTGACTCTTTCCCTTGCAGAGATGCGACACGGACAGAGAAGAGGGAAAAGAGAGAGGGAAGAATGGGCGCTTATGTAATACCTTGAAACCACAAATAGCACACAGTGAGAGAGTGGCAAACCCACACATACAACCATATGCAATGTAGAGCTGCCATTTTAGCCCACAGTGTTAGACATATAACACCACACGCACACACGACAAACCCCCATCAGTTAGTCCAACAAGAATGCCCATCCTTAATCATCAATTAGGTTTTGACTGATTGCAGCATGTGTGGTTATGAGCTAAGAATATATCAGCCATGATAAACATGTCTGTGAGCCACAACAGAGGTGATGTGAGATAACTGTGTGTGTGTGTGCAGTACACACTGAGGGGGAATTAGAGAAGCTTCTCAACTTTCACACACTGTTTATCTCTGCTCTCAATCCCCTCGATGTTGATGGAAGAGCATATATCTTACATTTTGTACAGCTCCACCGTCAGGTCAACATTTCCCAGACAAACAATGTGGTTCCCAGCAGGGTATCTTAAAAATACATTACATTTGCTGTGATTATTTTTGAGACATGCTAGTAAATCCCTGGTCTTTCCTCTAGCACCACCATGAGGAAAATGTGTTTATAATGAAATACTGACCTCTTTGGGTGGATTCCTGGGGATTACCAAGCATGGTTAAGCTCTCGATATAATGAGCCATTTTGATTTTTTACATCCCTACATAACGAAATGCTGACGATAAATGTTCACAATTGATTTGACCAGTACTGCTAAGGATAAGAGAGTCGTCAGTATGTTGTCTGTCCAACATTTCTTAATGCGGCGTGTAATTGTAGCTTTCATTCTTTTAATTTTAGACTTGGGCACTAACCCCATTTCAATTACAAGTTACATTAAAAGGAATGCAGAAAGCATGGCCGTTAAATATTTCTACTTTGATCAACATTTACACAGCACACATGGCAAACAGCACTTGCAGTGTAATAAACATGTCAGCGTCAGTGTTTATATAGCCTAAGTGCTCCTGGGCATGTGTCTTAACCCCAACAGCTGGTAAGTTAGCATAAATATCCCAATAACACAGGTTGTTGAAGATGTTGTCAAAACAAACAACAGTTCTCTTCTCTCTCTATATTCTATGTTTCTTCAGGTATTGTTGTTTGTGTGGAATATGTGTTTGAGCTTTTAAAGCACCAAACTATGAATTCAACCTTTACAAAACAGATTTGAAAAGCTGTGTATGAGTGAAAACATTTCTTTCCTCATGCTAACCTGCAAAAATAGTTGTTTTTTTGTCAAATTGGTAACATAGTTGGGTCTTAATTTGTATCCCTTAGATTTGAGGAATAAACACACTAGCAGTAAAGTACTTGATAGTGACTTCTGTCATTTTTCATTCAGGTACTTCAAACACACGTATTCAACGTGATGTCTTCTTTGCAGCAGAGTACAAGCTCAAAAACATCTACAGAAGATTTGAGGTTCAATCAACTGAGTCAGTATTGTTTGGTTCCAGTGGCACAAAGATTACTTATAGTAAAAATAAGTCCTGGTGGATAACTTTCATGCTCTGCTGAGACTACACAGTCCGCCATGTATAAATATGTGGCCCTCTGTACATCTGTGCCTGTAGGGGATACAAGTAAGGGCATGAATATATATCTGTGAGCACATGTGAACTGTATGTAATGCGTTCATAAGTATGTCCCTCCTGGGATAGACTAACTTGCTGACAGTCTATCTGTTTGTCTGTTAGGGCTGCTCGATTATGGCAAAAATCATAATCTCGATTATTTGGGTCAATAATTGTAATTGCGATTATTAAATGTGATTATTCATTGACTTTGAAAACATCCATTTATTGGAGAAAAAAAATGTGAACAGTATGTTTTTAGCAGTTGATTACCCTGAACTTTAAGTATAATTCAACTGAAAAAAATAAATAATAATTTAATTTAAAAAAAAAAGTAATAATAATAATAAAAGAATAATCGTTTTATTTTGATTACATTGTTTTCGTAATCGTTGCAAGCCATAATCGTAATCCCGATTAAAATACGATTAATTGAGCAGCCCTAATGTCTGTCATTCTGTCTATTAGTCTGTGTAATAATGACTCACAGCGACTCTACAATAATACTGCTGGGTCACACTTGATGGCTTGTTTAGTGATACGGCTCCATCTAGCGGTCATAAGTGGACTATCATCCAGATTGATTACATAAATACCACAAAAGAACAAAAGAACAGCAGCATTGAAATCAGCCAGGGACTCAATGTCAGGATGAAAGAGCATAGAAGACACAAGGAAATGAAGGAAGAATAGCTGTGAGTGGGAGAACAAGAGAGACAAAAAACAGGTCTGACGTCACCTATGGGAGTTGACAGGATCTCTGGTTTCATCATTGCAACGTTTGGGAAATGGTCATTAGTGTATTGCACTCGGGAAACATGCACATCACAGAGAGAGAAGGAGAGAGAGAAAGTAGCACACTGCTGATGATATTTCCTTTATATCTTTTGTTATTTTTTATAATTTAATTCAGAAATCTCAGAGGGATACAATGTAAAGAGAGATGCTTTAAAGTATCTAATACTCAGCAACCTGTTCCTGTTTTGTTTTGTTTTCTTCAGCCTATGTATCTGTATGATTATTATTACTTTTTGTTTTGTTTTGTTACTTCCCATTGTAAAGCGTCCTTGGGTTTCGTGAAAGGCGCTATATAAATTGAAATTATTATTATTATTAATGTTTTTACATTCTTGACATCTAAGCATTTCTAATAAGGAACCTCCAATTAGCTGCAATCAGAGCCGAAAACTAGCATGGGGTGAACAGAGTCAGACTGAATGAGGTCGATGCACTCACCGTGCTACATTACACAGGAATATCTAAACTGATGGAGGCATGATAAAACAAAAGGGGGGAAAGAATGAAGGAACAAGGGAAAAGAGAGAGGGGGGGTTTACCCCCAGAAGAGTCACGTACAGGCCCCAGCTGAGCTATTGTTCCTGACTACAACAGAGACACAAGAGCACACAATTACCAGACAGAAGTGCATGAACATTGTACACACATGCACGCACAGAGCCGGGAGGTAACACGCCCCTTACTGTTTTACTTTATAATGTTTCCATTCCCGACAAATCCCTTTAAACCGTATAATATTTAAGGGGGTTGTATTAGCAGAAATGGTAGCTAATAATAAGAACAATGTTTTCCTCGGTGTGTAATTACATAGTGTTGTCTGTACAGTGTTTTGTCC